TTCTCGTGCTAAAAATAAAATAACATGACCCAGCTTGTCACCAATCGTGTATACCATTCGCGAGCAGGCTCATGATCCCGTGATATGCCCACGAAATACCTACGCGAACACTCACCATGATCCCGAAGGTCTGCTCGATGCATGTGCGCCCTTGCGACTGAAAGAAGTTGAAGGCGTCTTGGTCTGCGTTGAGGTCGCATCCTGGGTACGGTACAAGCATCTTGTCCGTTGCCCCGTAAGCCGAATCTCCCACGACATAGTCGCCTGGAAGACCCTCGACAAGCTGGTCGAACTCGGCCTCCTTGTATGCCTGCCGATCGTTGGTGCTTCCCGGGGTGTTGCAGCAGGCGGCAGTGACGATGTAATCCGCGTCGCAGATCACCTGAGTCGGGAAACAGGTGGTGCATTCTGTAAGCGCGTGTGCACTTCAGCTGCTTCATGAACAGAAGTTTAAGGGTTCATCGTGCGCCCCTTCCCACAGAAAAGAGGGAAGAGGCCGTTTTTTTTTACATGTTCGTCGATGTCCACCATACAGAACGCGCCCGCAAGTAAGATTTTTTTTAGGTAGGAAAATCAAGCTCAGATTTTGGCGAAAAATGATAAATTCCGGCTAAGAAACACAGCTCAATCTTGGGAAAGAAGTAAGTAACACCCGAATAAGAAACTGAGGGCAGGATCACTCCAAACCACAAGAAAAGAAGTGCAGCAGAGAGAGCGTGAAAAATAAGAAACGGCCGTTGACGTCCAGTGACAATCCCTATTACCCCTTGTGTGTGGGTATGGGTCGCTGTCTTTTATCCGAACCCCCCCCGTGCCGCGCGGTCCGCACGTGGTGCGTGGTGGCCAAGTGTGGCCTGGTTTCACAGTTCTGATGAAGACAGACAGACGCGGGCGTTGGTGCGTGGGTGCTGGAGGTAGAGCAGGAGGAGGCAAGGATCAGGAGGTCTAGGAGGCGACAACCCCAAATGTTCGCCGCACGGAGCATTCGGCGTAATGTCGGAATGGCTGTTGGGTCCCTCTCTTTCAACTACTTCGTGTGGTTTGTCTTTTGGAGAATGCCACTACTGTACGGCACAGTGGAGGGAAAGCCACATCAGTTCGTTTTCTGTTGCGCGATTGATTGTCGTCGAGGTGTGTGCCTGGGTCATGGCGAGAACTGCTGTGTGAGAGATGGTGGCAAGGTCTTGATTTCAAGCAAAGGGCAATCAAATGCAGCGAGACGCAAGAACCACGGCAGCTTCCCGCGCTAGACACGGAGACGGGTGACGGCTTCAACGTCGGCGGGACAAACGGTACATTATACAAGAAACAAGCAAATCCTGCAAGCAAATCCTGCAAGGCCAAAAAATAAGAAACGGCAAAATGATTTCAGCAACAAAGGCTGGCAGGTCGGTCGAAAATATGAAATTGAGCCTCAACCCATATGTCACGTTTCTTGGTTGCGGGCGCGTTCTGTACTCTGTCTCCACGGAAGTGTGTGATGGCAAGGGCGGGTTTCATGGCGTGATTGTGTTCCCCAACGGTGTACTGCAGCGGGTTAAGGGTACCCGGACAACCTCCTGCTATGTTGCCTAATTTCGAAAACAAACGCAAGAGCGCCAGAAAATGCACTAGAGACACATACGACCAGTCGGAAGGCATCGCAAAAAAAACAAGTCCAAAATTCTGGCACAGGGCGGCAGTAGAGACCGCTCAAAACGTGCTTTTCGCGCGTCTACCTCCACACGCATCGTTTGAAACCAAGATAAAAATCCACACCAGTCTAAATTCAAGTCAAAAGAGTCCAAACGGAAGGCGCTCAAATAAGGCCGGTGTTGCTAGGAACCTGGTCCATTGTACCAATATCACTAGAGGACACCCTATAGCAGCGGGGGGGTGTGTTGGCGCGCTCAAAACTTCTTCTGTGGTGGTGGTATCGAGTGTCGTTGTAGTGGCCCACAATCTCCGCAAATCTCCGCAAGTTAGATCGACACCCAGTGTCTTGTACTGCTTGTGCTCGCCGCCACTGAACCCAATCTTCTGAACTGCAGGTTTACAGCAGTAGCTGATGCCACCAGCTACTGCTGACAACCCGCAGTTGAGGGGTTTGCGGTCCGTGGTGGTGAGCACGCTGTGATAAGTGTTGGGTTCCGCTTGGTTCCGGCGCAGATTTCGGACCGTTTTCAGAGGCTGCTGCGACCTTCGATATTTCAGCCCCAGTAGTATACCTGAACGTGCAAGCACGCACGACACCTCTTGATGATATCCTCTACTGATACTAGCACAACGGACCAGGTTCCTCCGGCGGGAAGGTTGTTTTCTTTCTTTGTACTGTTATAAAGTATGAGAAAAGAGCCAGCGTCAAAATCCCTTGTCTGGGAAGGAGAGGGGATTATTTTACACATTTTGATGCACCCAAACAACATAGTCTAACCCAAACAGCAGTACGGCCGTTATTTGTTGTTTCTACAACAAAGAGTCTGCTGTTGACCGGTGTACACAGAGAGAGTCAGTCTACTGCTAGGTTCGAATCATCTAGTTTTCGCACCTGGTAGTTCATGCCCACTGTCATCTTGTGCCCTGAAAAGAACCGATCTGGACAAGGGTGTTCGGTGATGCTAGGCTTCTTGCGTCGTACAAGGAGTCCATCCAATGCTCCCACACAGCGCTTCAGGACAGGGTCAAGTTGGGAACTCCGAGCAGCAAACCCCTGCGCCTTCGCTTGAAGTTCCCGCTCCGTTCTCGGCCACTTTATCCGAAGCCTCCCACAGTCGTTGATGGCATCCAGCCCTTCCTTGATCTTCGCAAATGCTGTGCTCGTGGCCATGTGGGGACCATCAGCCGCAGCGCTGACGCCGTGCCCTGCGAGCCACCGCAACGTGCTAGCTAGCGCTCACTCCCCAGCTATGGTGCCGTTGTGGCCACGCCCCGTTGTGGCCAAGCCCTTCGGGGCCATGGCCAGCTCCTTTTCACGCATGCTCCACGCCGAGTGTGGACGACTTGGAACGCACAAGCCAACGCTGTCGTCGCGGCGAGGCACCAGAGAGCAGCTGCTGTAACGATTCGCACCCGTGTGTTGCGGCGAGCGACGACGGTACGGCGTGCACTCACTCCAGTGCGAGGCCGAACCACATGACGAGTTGTGGCCCTGCGTCTCGTCGTGTGCCTGGTACCTTGTGCAGCGGGCGGTAGCACCAGCTTCCTTCCGTGAACGACCGCAATATGTGTTGTTGTTGTTGTTGACTTCACATTAAACCGTATGCCAGTTGCTAAATGCCAAAATCTAGCAAAGACTCTCGGCCCGTGGTCACGAAAGTGCTGGAGCCATCTGAGGATCTAAAGAACACGCACACGTAGCAAGAAAAAGGTGTACAAGAGCCCGAAGAGGTACTACTACACCTATATATAATCCCTGCAGCACCGTACGCGTGCCCAAAACTGAACTACACGTCCGTCTCACCGTTCGACTACAGCAACATCACCCCCTAC